AGAGAGAAATGTGTGCGTGGGATGTTGTCTTCCTCTACCCCTCTGTATAAATTTTGATTCCAACCTTGGCCGGTCTTGTTACGACCATTTTTTTTTTCCCTGCGGATCATTTGGACTTTCTACTTATGGTAGGTATGTGTGGAGTGAACTCGTGCCCCTTCTCGTGTAATCCTTGGATGACTAGTGTGACTCAACTCTCCCCGCTCTGTGCTCGGGTTGGATGCGCTCCTCATGCATATTGTGGAATTGTCGAACTTCGGATCTTTTTTGTGGGATGGTGACCTTCTTTTTCTCACTAAGAAAGTTTTGACAAGTGGCCTCGAATCCCCCCCCCCCCCTCCTCTGATCCCTGTTTCATTGTAGATTGGTGAGGTTAGGCACGACGTTTATTTGCTTGGGTTACGATGATGAAGGCCTCCTCGATGACAGGGCCAAATACGCACACCTTTGTCGATCTCTTGTTTATGTTTGATTAATGCATGCGTTTGATCGATGCTTGAGTACGCACATCAATTTTCCCGTTCCATAAAACGATCTAAGGAGCCCTCGGTGGTTCCCACTGACGTGTGCTCTAGTAAATGGATGGATGGCTGATTCAATTGCGTGATTGTCCGCATATTACCTCCTTATTGTCTGTTTCTTAACGCGCACACGGGCTAGCATAACCACAGATCAAACAATCTCCCGACCAAAGGGATAATCGGTCGACCCGATCCAACTGATCGCATACGTGGTCTCGTGCGCACGCGAGCAGGCTCGATCAAAACAAACCTCGCCTGCACGCGTGTCCACAAGACCCACACTTGAGTCCATGTCTAAACTCGCAAAACTCAGGTAGCATGGATGATGGGATTCCCTTTCACGTCACGGATCGGGAAAGCCTGAGACACCGATGGTTTCGAGAATACTGGGAGTGGAAAAACGACTGTCTTCTCGCACAACCCCTCCGCAACCCTCCAAAGTTCCCCTTTCAGACGAGAAACGAACGTGTCTGCCGAGTGGGATATCGAACGGGCCCTAAGAGCGATCCCTCTTCCCTCCCAGTTCACCAGCTCGCACGCTACGTCGCCACTTGTATGCACCCTCGTACGAGTACGGACTCGTACTCTTGTACTCGTACGCTACTAGTACCCTAGGGGCCCCGTACTAGTTTTTTTTTTTTTTTTTAATCCGGTATTGTTTTTATTGTTTTTCTCAAATTATAATAAGAATCTGAAGATGATGCTCAGCGAAATGTTGCTTGTTTTGTGTTGTTGCATCACATGTTTTTTTTTTTCGGATTTTTTTATGACGGTTTTTTTTTTTTTTTTTTTTTTTTGGCTTTTTCGTACAGGGGCGTACAAGGCATACAGGTTCCCGTACAGATCCCGTACAGAAATAACCTGTACGTTTTGTACAGGAAGCCCCCGTACGTGTACTATATGCAACGTAGCTCGCACGTAAGCCACGTCATCGCCGAACGTGGTGTCGTCATCATTGAGACAGACTTTTCTCCCTACCACCTTGCGTTGCCTTTTCACTGCCCGACGACGGCCCCGTGACAGGCACTCGGCCCCTAGTGGCCTTGAACCCCGTGCTCCAAATGCCAGCAGGACAGCGAGTATCGAGCCGCAAGGTTCGTTCGACGAACCCAAACTGAGGTCGAATTGCGAGCACGCAACCTCCACCTGAGGCCTGCTTCGTCCGACTCGGAGGCGTGTCACGAGTGACGCGGGCAAATAGTTAGGCAACGCGACAAACATAGCGTTCCGCCGGTTCATCAAATCCGAGTCCGGCTTCGGCGGAGAAACTCGCGGGGATGGCGATGACGTCCCCTAAAGCATAAAAGTCGGACGCGGTTTGCATTTACTATCTTGCATAACTACCCCAAGGCTTGCCACAGGAGATTTCAGTTCTGCTCTGGAATTCCACCTCCACTATCCTAAAATCCTTGGCACACCCCTTTTTCGCACTTCCGGGTCCCCATCTCACTCCGATCAGGAAGTCTCACTGGGCGTGAGGTTGGTATCGGAGCCCACCCGTGGCAAACTTATGGATTGACAAGCGGATAGGCCCCCTAGTTAAGCGACCTAGCGACCCGAGGACGACCTAGAACTGCGATTTCATCAAAACGGACATTTTTTATTTTTTGTATGAAATTGAACGTCCATTTATTTGCGCTTTTTGTATGTAATTTATGAAGTCTGTTATGGGTATAGGGTCAGGGGTCGGGGGTAAAGGGGTAAGGGGTAAGAAGGGGTAAGGGGTAATATCGGTAAGGGGTAAGGGGTAAGGGGTAAGGGGTAAAGGGGTAAGGGGTAAGGGGTACGAGGTCATCTGAAGTAACACCGTAATGGTGTTCAATCGGGCATGTTGCGCTGTTGCTTTGTTAAATACATTCGAACATGTTTATGGGTGTCTATCCAGCATAGCCAATGAACTTTATACATTTGCACAAAATGAACAAATGTTTTGCTTAAATATTGTTGTCTATCATAGGTCCTTTGTTGCACAAGTAACTCCTAGTTTGGTATGACAAGTACATCTAAAGCGATCCGTCCCCTTATATTGTGGATGTCGTCGAAAGAGAAGTTGAATGGCGAAAAAAATCCTCTTGCCAACAGTGACGCAAATGTTAGCATAAACACACCGCATTCGTTAATGCCGCGCTGTCTAGGAATGCCTGACACATTCCATATTTGGTTGAAATCTTTTGTATCTACCACCTTACCCTGTTCAACCGATGTTTCGAACAAGAATCTTGCGAAACCACCTGTCACTTTCCTTGCCAATTCTTTGTCAGGCGTAAGCGAGTCGTAGTACTTCATTTTCTGACGCCTCAAGTCTGCTATTACTAGTGTCCAATGGTTGGACATCCGGATATGGAATGGAGCTATTATTAAGTCCACGTCACCCACATCGATATCTGTCATCCACTTTTGTACTACGCTATATTGGTATTGCATGTCGTCGTCGAACAATTTCGCGAAAAAGAAGGAACTAAAAATTGTTGTTATCGGGATGCGCCCTTTTCCTTCTACTACGGTTCCGTCTTGTCTACTATCACACTCGCGATGGCTTATGCGACACATGTTGTCAAACCTAACGAGGTTCAAATAAAAGTTAACTATTTCGGTGTTCAACCAATTGCCTTGAAACAATATCAAGCTGAAATCATGCCCGGTTAGTGTTAGTTTTCCTTTTGTTGCCTCGTTGTACGTGGATGTCCAGACCGTCCGATTCTCCGCTTGCACTGAATCTCGTAAATATTGTACCGCGACCGTCTCCTTCTCTGACAACTTATCCGTTGCTAAGTGGATCGCCCATCCCTGTTTGCATCTTCGTACTTCTTCTATGTTCCTCCTTTCTGCACATGACAATGCATTATGCGTCAGCGTAAGGTATCGTTATTGGGGCCTGCCATATTTGCATGCTCGAAACGGCGGACAAAATTTCAATTGCTAAATCCTGCCAACAGGATACTATTATAGCAAGTTGACATGAACATCCCGACCTCCACCCTTTCTCGTAATATGCCGCATAACACAACTACAATTCTTGCCAATTTTACGTGTATTTTTTTAGAGCAAATCGATCAATGATACTTATCGCGATCTTTGGTGGTTAACGGTAACCCTGCTTCCATCTGTTCTCTGATGTTCATGTTCACTACTCTTGGCAATATTTTGAATATAAGTTTACTACTTCAGCCTTGCTGTTTCACATTTTTTCACGTTTTTTTTTTTTTTTTTTCCATTTCGTTGATATGGTTTCCATTTTTCAAGTTTGTGGGGATTTAGGTTATGATGACCATTCGCAGCGCACTAGAAGATGGCATAACAAAATCTCTTAAATTTGAGGTTTCCTTAACACATGGCAGGCAAAGTACCCCATATAGTGTGTTTTCATATGCCTTTATTATAAAATTGTACCAAGCACGCATACACAATTTAATCCACACACAGAACCTAATGGTGCTAACGAGTCCACCTCTGCCTACTCACACACACACACGCACATACACACACACACACACACA